GACCTTATTAGCAGGAAGAAAATGATTCCCTACAAAATACTAAGTAGCAAATATAATTTAATAATTATACTGTAAATCCTTATGCAGATTCAAATATATAATTAAAAAAAATATATAATTACAATAGACAATGATTTTTTCTATTAAATATTACAAAAAACATTACACTCTGAAAGTTTCACATATTATTTCGTATTGTGTGCATTCTACCCAATTTTAAATCTTCAGCTGTTCTGAATTGCATAAATGCATACAAATTTAACAGTTTAATAATAGTTTTCATATGATGCTTCGTTTTCGTGGTAATCAGGTTCGGAAATCTAATCCAGCGTGTGTGCTGTCGAATAGAAAGTAGCTAACACGTCTGTTCGTAACTAGCAATTTCCACTTGTTACAAGTGAAGCTATCTGAAGGAAATTTTCTTCCACGTTTCCAGCTTATCTTTTTTAAGCGGTTAAAAGCTAAGTTTCTGTGACGATTTCATTAGCAAAAAATTGTTTCGTTTTTTGTTGATATACTTAAGTAATTGAGCACATAGGGGAGGGCGATATCAAATTCCTTCTTGAGAAGTTCTTGAGGATTGGATAGAAGTGAATCGAAAATCCAGTGGGCACATACGAGTAATCCGAACCAACATGCAGGACGTGCTCCATCTATATAGGACCTGGTTGGGTTACAGTTCATTGTGGTGTACTCTTACGGAATAAAACACCGTCATCTACCATTGTAACGTACGCGAACACAAGCGAACGGAGAAGATTCGTTCTACGGCCACAGACATGAAATTCGGTGGGCTTCTTCCGGTCGGAAGTAAGCTTCTCGGGGAGATAGGCGAAACCTTTCTTCGCGCAGATTGTTTCTTATCCGATTACTTCCTCTTCTTTAGGAAATTTCTTGTTTTATAATGTAAATATGTATATAATGTATATATATATATATACTTATAAATATATATATATTATACTTATAAATTATTATATAAATATATTAATTTAAATAAATCAATAAATTACTTTATAAATAAATATGTATTATTTAATATATTAATCATTAATTATTATATTGTATATTATATATTAATATAAATTATATT